CCTCCTGTTCCCTAGTAAATAATTCTTCACCTCTCACATAAACGCCGCAGCTTTCCTGCCCCCTCCTTCTCACAGAAGCAATAAAATCCATGATTGTGCAGAGACACGTGGCTTCAGCTTCTCTACTATGGCAGACAGTTGCTGACTCTGTAACTGATACCTGGATCTTATTTCCAATAAACTCAGCATAACACAGGGAAGATAGGAGATACTGAGACTGGCTGAGATTTCAGCCAGTTCAAGTTGATATGTACATTTTTAAATCAGCTAAAGCAATGATCAGCTAAAGCAAAGTTTGATTTTTGTTTGCCAGACTCACCTAAACATAGCCTGCACACCATAGTCTTCAAGTCATGTGAGATGATTAACTATGGGATAATTCCAGGCTTTCAGACTTTGCATTTTTAAGATTTCTCTGATGATTCTGATTAGTTTAGAGGAGACATGGAAGAAAGACAGGTGAGAATTAAGATACTTCTTTAGGAAGTGTGAGTAGGTAATAATATTCGGAAACTAAACTTCCTCCCAACTCGGATATGGCAAATACTAAGCTAATACTATGGGGCCAAGAGCGGGCTGGACCTTTATGGAGAGCTAGACCCTGCCTTATCTCCAACAGATAACTGCCCCTTCCTCACCAACAGAGATGACATGGGAACTCTGAGTGATCAGAAAGGCCAGGTCAAAGGGAAGACATTAAAGAGGCTTGGTAAAGGTTTGCTACTCCAGTTAACTGACTGCTCAGGGAAGCAGTGCAAGGCAAACATTTTTAAAAAATCAGATGAATATTGGAGATATTCAGAAGCTGCCTGGACACAGTTCGAGGTAACTGGATCTAAATAGCCTTGCCTGAGCAGGGGCAGTTAGACCAGGTGACCTCCAGAGGTCCTTTAATGCCTATTCATTGGTCTCATGTGCTGCCTTCACAGATTGTTGAGTTCCTCAACAAGTTCCACCCTGAAGTACTCTCTTTATCCTGGGGATACCAGGCATAACGCTGATACCACCAGATCAGAAGATGCTTTCTGGAGTTTTCTGCCTAGTTTTACATGAAACTTTTACAGAGAATTATCTTGCACAACATACATCTCTGAACAAAGGAACAAGAAGGAGTTTGATTTTTGTGGTGTCAGGACTAATAGAGGTAATTAACTGCAGATATGTTTCCAGGAAAATCTAGAAACAATATTCAACTCTTAAAAGACCATACAACCCCTTCAAAAGAAAGCCTTTTGCAATTCACAGAGATGCATTAGCTGAAGTCTATTCTCAAATGAGTGTGCTTGTTTTGGCTAGGATAGAGTTAATTTTCTTCACAGTAGCTACTACGGGGCTGTGTTTCGGATTTGTGCTGGAAACAGTGTTGATAATGCAGAAGTATTTTAGTTATTGCTGAGCAGTGCTTACACAGAGTCAAGATTTTTTCTGCTTCTCACCCCACCCCACCAGTGAGTAGGCTGGGGTGCAAGAAGTTGGGAGGGGACACAGCTGGGACAGCTGACCCCAACTGACCAAAGGGATGTTCCATACCATATGATGTCATGCTCAGCATAAAAAGCTGAGGAAAGAAGAAGGAAGGGGAGGGACGTTTGGAGTGATGGCGTTTGTGTTCCCAAGTAACCGTTAGGCATGATGAAGCCCTGCTTTCCTGGAGATGGCTGAACACCTGCCTGCCGATGGGAAGCGGTGAATGAATTCCTTGTTTTGCTTTGCTTGCATGCACAGCTTTTGCTTTAACTATTAAATTGTCTTTACCTCAACCCATGAGTTTTCTTACTTCTACCCTTCTGGTTCTCTCCCCCATCCCACTAGAGGTGGAAATGAGCGAGCAGCTGTGTGGTGCTTGGTTGCCAGCTGGGGTTAAACCATGACAATGAGACATGTCCAAGACTGCTGACTGCTAAAAATTCATCGGTTCATTCAATTCTTCTCTTTCATTACCGCAGACATTGCTGCTATAAATTAAGAAAAGATACACACACACAAAAAAACCATCTTGTGTGGGAAGTCAGATATCCCTCAGGGAAGAAACACCTTACCATTACCTAAGTAGTGGTGGAAAACGTTGGATTCAGGCTATGGTGTTTCAACAGCAAACAATTGCACTTCTGTGGAAGTGTTCCTATACTCACGATGCCAATGCTAGAAGGTTCATTGCAGCTGAACGAAGCAATTTTGGTGTCCAGCCATACCCTAGGGATTTGACTTTTGGGTGTATACTTCGGAAAACACCAACCTCTCTTGCCCTACTTTCAAACTGGTATTTAAATTCCTAGGAACTTTACTGTTGTTTTCAACATCTAAGTGGATTTTTTTAATATAGTAACAAAATTTCCATTATTTGGAACCTGTATCTTGAGTAGGAATCTGTCATGTGTCAAATAATCTTTCAGGAGCAATTTCCACCTAATAAACTTGCTGATATATAGATGTTAATAACAACATTTGTATTTTTTGTGTTCAGTAAACGTGACGAACATCATTAGCATGGGAAGGAAAAATGAGCTCCAAATACTCTGTCAAAGATTTGCAGAAACATTTTTGGAGTCTTTTTCCCTTAAAGTTCTAATATTAATGCTGTGTTTCTGTAGTCTCAAGATTAGCATTTCTGCTCTGCAGCCATTTCCTACGAAGGCAACCAAGACAGGGAATTGAACATGTTAGGAAACTTAGGTTCTGGTCAGAGTTGTAGCAGCGGCTTCCTGTGCCCAGCAAACTTGGACAAAACACTGAATAAGATACGTTATTTAACCTGCCTTTACCTAAGTTCACCTCCATGGGACTATTCCCCCTACATAAGGGCGTGTGCTAAGTTCATGTTTGTGTAGTGCCTATACCTTCTAATGGGAGTTCTTCCAGAGTTGCTAAATATTGTCACTACTATTGAGTAATAAGCAAGTTATTTGTGCCAATAGTCCAGGTTCTACCTGGGCACTATTTTGGATGATGGTGTAAGGAAATTGTTTAATTTTCTTTTCTTTTAAATGCCAGTACTTTTCCAAATTTCAAAAAGCATTCCAAGTAAAGTGCTTTTGATCTAACATTATTAGATCACCTTAGAGCAAAACAATTTGAGCACCAAAAAAAGACTGTGCTTACAGGAAGCTTTCTGAATTGCAAGTGACTGTACAATATTTTAACACATCCAGTCAGCAAAACTTTCCACTCTAGCTGTAATATAATAAACCAGGACTCTGCATCTGCTTTGGAGCTTTCCCTAATGGTCTTGTATCCTCCAAAATCCTGTAAAAAAATTAAAGCTTTCTGTACCGGAGAAGGTCAGCAGAGAGCTCTGTTTTCCCCCATGGCCCTCATGAATATCAAAGTTTCAGTACTGGGACCTTTGCTGAGCTCAGCTGTGTCTCAGCATCTGTGGCAGAGAGGCAAGCAGGCAGGCACCAAAATATTTGGGAACCAATACCCTGCATAAGAGTAGGAACTACCTGACTATGTTCATAATAACAGGGTCTTCTCAGAATTTCAATCCTATATCTTTTCTTAATCATTTCCAGCTTTTAACACTTAGTCTGGGGTAGACAAAAATTTCAATGGTTCAACCCAGCAGTAATACATTATTTCAGCACAACAATAAAGCAGAGGTTTCCTTGGATGCAGACCTATAAAAAAGCCTCTCAAACAATGAGCAATGGGAGCACAACCTCCATCAAGCAATCCGATAAAAATCTCCTCCACAGGTGTCTCTTCTCTGTCTGGTAGTACCAGAATGCTTTATTTTGGCCACTTTGTTTTGACTCGAGGGCCAAACTCCACCAGAAATCAAGTAATGTGCAATATTTTTCATACAGAAACTCCAGCAAACGGGAACGAACCCCATCTCAGCGCATTATAAAACTGCTATGCTCTGATCTAATATTTCCCTGGTTGTGGTTTTGCATATTAAGAGTAATTTGTGAATTGTGCTTGTGGCCCTACTATGTTGCGTTGTTTTGCTATGAGCAGACACAGGTTAGATTTCTGGTCTCATACTCTTTACCCTGAGTGGTAAAACAACAGCAAGATCAAAGCCTGGGGGGACAAGGACATGTCAGAAAACTGGCTGAGTAATTAAGCAATGAAATGATAGGGATGACAAGTAGTTTCATTCAATTCTTAAATACAGCAGCTCCAAAACAAGGCAAAAGAGATGATAATATGCACAAATTGGGAGAGATGTGCTGGAAGGGAAGCCTTCTATCCTTATCTTCCCACCCTTCAAACCAAGCAGTCAGCATGTATCAAATTCATTTTTAAGAAGGGCCCGTTAAAGTATACTATTAAATGCTTATTTTGTTTAAAAAAGTACAAGTTGTGCTAAATGCTGAAAGACTGAAGCTGAAATTCACACCAACAGAAGTTAGCTGCTGTAATCCTAAAATACCTACACCACACATTGTCCTCTTCAACAGAGGTTAACTCATATTTTCCCTTGACAAACACACACGTATGTACATATATATATATGTGCATATGCTTAGCCTGAATGTTCTTAATAAATAGTTACTCTGATTTAAAGTAGACGTCTTTTTTTAAAAATTACTTCAACATACCTATGGAATTGGACGTATATAAATCCCAATGCAAATAAATAGTATCCAGTACTAAGCTCTTAAAACCCAGATTTATGACAGAAATGTGGAGACAGACTCTTCAACAGGGGCAAGGCTTAGCAGCATTACAATAGATCAAGACAAAGTATTGTTCGACATGATTTTCTTCCGTCTCGATGGCATATCCAGCTGTCCTGTAACATTTGTTACTAGAAGACTCTTTTCTTTGAAACTGCAGTTGCTGTTACTATTGTCATTAAATCCTTAAAGAAAAAATGCAAGTTCCTACTGCTGCTCTCTCCCTGTGAACCAGCAAGTGAATAGAGATGAGCCAACACCTTATTAAGTATAAGCAAAGCTTTTAAGATGGCCTGCAGAAATAAACAGGATGTCTACAATACACAAAAAGGTACTGTTAATAACAAAGATGAAATTTTGGTATGGAAAACCTACCTTAGGAGAAGAAGAAAGCTCCCTCGATGCAGGAACAGCTGACACGTTCTCACTCGTGCTTGTCTCTGTCTTTGGCAAGAGGTTTGGTGGTTCAGGGGCCTTTCTTTTCATCTTCTTTTCTGGTTCTTGCAGTAGAGCAACTTTAATTAAAGCAGGGCTTGATTTTGGTTCATAAAACGGATTTGATCTAATCAAAAGAAGGAAAACATATTTCTTTGCTACGTCCTTGGAATTCAAACCAAAAATAAGACCTGTTTAGAGAAGCCAATGACTAAAATGCTTTTATTATCCTACACAGAGTATATTTGTTTTACATGCTCTTAGATGCTAGTTTTTCATAGGACTGAAAAAGTGAGCTATAACAGTTAAAACTGCATTTCTATAAATTTTACAAAGTCCTGTAAATTACAGAAGTGTTATCAATTGCATAAAGCTAACTCTGCAATTATACTTAGCAATCTACCAAAGAGTGATCTGATGTACAGAGAGGCTCAATACCAACAAATCTGAGTGAACTTGCTGGCTGTTTAATATTAAGAATGCTTCATCTGAACGGAGTTAAGAATCAGGTCACTTTTACGTGCGTGCTTCAACACTGCTTTCACTCTTGGCTGTCCAAGTCTGAAAATTTTGGCCTCCGGATGTACACAATCCACATCCAGTGTATTTTAAACTCTGCAGCATACAGCCACCACACCATTTCAAGAACACTCTTTGGACAAGAGAATAGTGTAAGAAAACCACAGCTAACTTGTGTATACCGCTCTACAGATACCAGTATCCATCATCTGCCTATTTTGAAAGTGGTTTTTATAACCAAACCTCCTATAATAAACACAGTAAACATCTTCCATCAAGTGGATGCAGTCCAAAGAATTATTCTTAACTCTGGCGTTCACGTTCCAACTCTGCATTTGTTCCACCCTAAGTAAATACTCCCACAGCATTTTCAAATTTTATCTACTAGTTTGATACATCATGCATCATTCAATAGTACATCAAATAATGGCTTCTACTGCGCACTTAGAAGAGCCAGCAATTTTGTATCCTGCTAAGGAAGCTTATGGGAACCATCTTTGCTCTGAATTATTTTATTTCGCAATCCAAAATTGGACTGTTAATCACAAAACTTATATGTTAATTCCTTTCTAGTTCATACTTCCCCTGTGAGATATATTTATCATATATCTCAAACTACATTTATGTAACTAAGTCACTGCAAATCCCAAAGATCTATCTGCATATAGTTATATAAAGTGTTAAACTAACCACAACAAATAACTTCAGTCCCTTGAATTCAACTCTAGATGGAAACAACAATGCACACAGCATTAGACAAGAGCCTACCTAGCCAGATCCAGTAACAAATTTTCTCTCAGGATGAAAGTCATGAGCTAGTACGCTGTTTTTAAAGAACTGTAATAGCAAAATTTGAGAACAAGCAAAAAACCAACTTTTCATCCGGTTTCCTTCCACACCACACTAAGTTTCTCTCAGTTTTGTGTACTTTTAGTATGAAAATATGCCTTTCAGTCTCATTGACTGATTTTAGAATCTATTTTAATGCAGTTTATCATCATTCTCTTTTCACAGAGAAAAAGCAAGCAATTAATAATCCATACTGCAGAAAATCAGTCTACTTCTAAAAGGCAAAGCTTACTGAAGCGTGTAAGAGAAGACCAGGCTTAAAACTCCCAGACCTTTCTGAGAATCTGCCACTGCTTGTTACAGAGAAAGAGATCTAAATCCAGATACCAAAGTGAAAGGAAAGACTAACACTAAAATAACTCATCTGCTGACTGAAGGCAACTTTCAGGTGTTCCCACTTTGCTGCCCATCAAGCACAAAGCCACCAGTGCAATCAAAACTAAAGGCAACATCAAAATAACGAGTTAAATAGAAACGGATGGGTGTTTTCCATGGGAGGCAGTAGAAAAAGGAGGGTATTCAGGCTGGGGTGGAGAATGCACCTAGCTGTCAGTAGCTCTAATTTAGCTGACAGCCTAGCTCAGCTGTCTTCAGACAGCGGAAAGTTCAAAGGAAGGTGAAAATGAAGATGAAAGAGATAAAGGCTGAAGAACAATGCATTCTGCAGGAGAGCACAAGGTTTTCTTTAGTTCAACAATTTAGTCTTCTGAATAGCCAACAGATGCAGCATGTTTGGTAGGGAAGTAATTTACCTCCACGTACTTGGAATTAGAAAAGTGTACTGGTAAAGTGTTCAAATGAATTTGGTGCAAGAAAAAAAATAATCTTATCAGTGATAGCAAAAAAGTTTGGAAGAACCACCTTTTGAATTTTTACGCTCCAGAATTGTCTGCACTGTGTGTATCACCTTGAAGAGCTGTACCCTACTACACACACCAGAAGGAAGTGCCGTAAGGAGACAAGTGACAGCCTTTTTTTCCTAGAGAAGAACTTGCTTGAAAGCTAGACTAAACTCTCACAGTTTGGTCATAGCATTAGCAGAACACACACACTATTTCCCACCTTCTCCTCTCTACAGCTTTTAATTGGTCTTACAAATAGTGAGAAAGATTTTTGAAAAATTAAGTTTAATACAGGAAAAAAAAAAAACAACACACAACAAAATGGTTCTTGACCAAAGAGGCTATACATTTTGAAGTCATGGAGGGCTGATATATGTTTTGGTCCAACAGCTTCCAAATGGCTATACAAGAAACTAAGCACAGGAAAAGTCTGGCTGAAAAACATTCAAGCATTTTTCTCTGAGGTTAGCTCCCATACCTTTTGCTTCTGTGAAGTCATTTAATTGATCCACACAATATGATCTGCCTAAAGAGATACTAGACTGTCCACTGCAAAATTAAAAAAAACCCAATCCTGACAAACTACCTGGCATTAAGCTGGCACTGACAGTCTGATGGCTTGTGGCTTCTTGTGCAACAGGCAGCTTCATTAGATGGCAACTCGATAGTCTTTCCAATTAGACAGCATTATTCTAAGCCATGCAATGATTAACGAGATAAGAAGCCACAGAGCCAAGTAATATCTGAAAGAAAGTTTTATTCTGACCAATTTAAAAATTATTTTGATCAGTGTTACCGGTTAACTGCAAAAAATCAACATTGAGGAGAAACAAAGCTCTCAGCATGGTAGGGTTAAAAGAAGAGGCAATATTACCAATCAGAAGTACTAAAGTTGAAAGCATTATACTTTAAGCAGTTGTGAGCTATGCTATTTTCAAACAATTAAACATAACTTCACAAGGTGTGCTGTCCTTTATTAACAGATAGCCACCTACCATTTGGATTTTAATGCATAAATTTCAAAAAGGCAAAAGCAGAATTTTACACTAACATTCAAATGCTCCCACTAATCAAAGGAAAATGTGTTCCTTATCTCTGGCTAGGTATGAGAATTTAGCCAGAGGAAGCATGTTTAGAGAGCGTAGTTTTACAGCAGAATTTATGTACTGGATCATCTAATTCCCTCTATACCATGCAATGCCTCATTATGTTTATACTTGTGACTATGCTTTGCTTATGTGTGTTGTGAAATCTTACGTTATCTTCACAACCATTAGTGAAATACGTTTCAATTAAGCCAATTACCCAAGGTAAATCCTTCACAGAGGCTCAGTGAGGGTAAGTACCTTTTCCATGATTACGTTGAGAGACTGTTACAAAACTGGAGTCAGAGTTCAGCTCTTGGGGCACTTTGTGTAAGCTCTGAGTCCAGAATCAGAACTAGGGATGTGCCAGAGTAGAGTGAGACAAGGGTCCTGGTACCACCTGATGTGTCCGTGTTCCCACAACACATCATTGCATTTCACACAAAATACAAGAGGAAAATGCCAAGTGGTGCATCAAGTGAACTCCAATGAAATGTTTAAAATGCAGGGATAAAAATACAGTGTATTTCCTGAGCAACAGTAAATTTCTTTCAGGAGCCTTCTATTTCTCATGCCTTCCATCTATCAGGTTCAAAACCATTCCTGGGGAAAGCACTGGACGCCCTGGTAGTCAAAAATGATTAAAAACTACCCAAACCAAAACAAATCGAAAGACAAGATGTTAGGAGAGAGGTTGAAAACCATATGCAAAGTTTTCTAATGCCGTGATATGACTCAGTTGTTCAGCCTTGTCTTGAATACACTGCTCAGGCCAAGTCAACACATCTTAAAATAGATACATAGGAGAAGAAATAACAGGGTCCAGAGGCGTGCGGTGAAAATGATTAGAGAGATGAAGAGACTTCTGTATGAAGAGAGATTGAAAAAGTTAGCACCATTTAACCCAGACAAGTAACGGTGAACATGCTAGAGATACACAACACAGCAACTGTTTACAGCGGATAAATCCAATACTGCTAATTGGTGTTTTGATAAGCCAGCGGAAGAGATAGTGTATGGGATTGGAAAGGTAACTTATTTACAATCAATAAAAGGAAACACATTTCATATAAGATCTTGTTTTTTTGTGGAACACACTGCCACAAATTGACACTGAAGCCTAGACCTTAATAGGATTTGGAAGATTAGCCACTTATGCAGATAATAAAAGCATCAATATTCACATTAGATAAGAAACAATACACATCTGGACATAAACCCTCATGATTTAGTGCACACAAAACCTAGCAACTGGCACTGCCTATTAAAATCTCCCCCTCGGTGCTCACCGTACTCTACCTTAGCAGAAACTTTCTATCGAAAAATTTCAAAATTAATAACATGAGGTAAGGCATAATTGAGCTTGTAGGTGTGAATTAGTATCACAAGTCCTGTGTTCCTAGTCTGGAGTTTTATTATTACACTTATTTCTCCAGAGTGTTTCAGTATAAAAATGCAAAGGTTCTCCTTGCGTTGCATTCTCATTGCACTCTACCCAATACATTTAACAAATGGTCTCCACATCTTTTCCAATGACATGGTACTCCTGTAACCTGGGAGGAAAATGTGGAGAGGAAGCTACTTTGGGGGTCAGGACATGAAAAAAAACTTATGTAAAAGACATAAAAAACTATTTTACAGTGCTTTTTGACTCCTTATCCTTCCACCTTTGTATGAGACATTGCTTTTATAACGAAAACATAGATCAGATTTACGTTCCAGTAGAATCCACCTATGGGGAGCTTATTTTTATCCTTGGAAAAAAACAAAAGGAATAAAGCAAATGGGGTCATTAAAATAAAAAAGGTGTTGTAAACAAAGGGCTAGATAAATGTACAGTCCAGTATACAGAAAAAACAAGCCCTGCCTGTTACAACACTGCTGCAAGTCCCTTTGGCACAGATTTGCTTAGGGTGGAAATGTGAGTATAAATATAAACCAGAGAAAATTCTTTGCTTGCCCATCCAGGTAGCTTTTTCTCTTTCTGCTCTTCTCCTCAGTCTTTGCTGTCCTTTACACCTGTATTTTTGCAGGTATAAAGTATACATATTTTTTCTCCCTGCAGATTCTGGTGATGAGTGACTGATCAGTGATGCCTGGTGTGATTGTCAACAGTATTATCACACTGTGCTCTGAAGACACAGCAGCCAGTGCTGTTTGTTCAGGCAGTGCCCTGACGAATGGAGCTGGCAGAGACACCATGCCCCAATGCCTTTTTTTTTTTCCCACAGAACAAACAACAACAACCACCACCCCATGGCCACAGAGCTTTAAAAGGTAAAAAACCCTGCAGGGTCCTTTATGTATTCTGTCAGAGTGTATGGGAATGCTTCAATTTCCTAGAACACAGCTATAAACAGAGAAACATAAAGATGATGATATGACACCTGTATTAATATTAAATATGAAAGCAATGCAAATGTCATGCCATGATAAACCTCATTAAATAATGTAAAACCACATGTTAATTACAGTTGTTGTCTGTAAAATTGCTCCCATGTAATCAGCATAAACTGTCTCACGAGTGGTGTGGTTGGTGACTAATGACCACAAAGAAGGAGTAAGTATATACCTTCAAACCTCCGTAGCTGCACAACTGTTGCAAAAAGCCCTCACTCCTTGTTAGGTTTCTATACTACAATACAATGCAGTCAGTGTGAGTTTATTAAAGTTTTATGTGGGGTTGTGACAAAAGAAACAACCTAAGAAGGTGCATATGCTGTTATCTTTCCCATACAGAGATTCAGTTTTATGAGACTACCAAAAATGTGCTATGCAGACTGCAAAACTCTCTTCCTTTTCACATACTGCACCAATATAAAACAAACTCTCCATTATCATTAACAAAAATTACTATTTTATGTAGTAAAAATAACAGTAAAAGGGACAGGAAGGACCAAGCTCTGCTGCTCCTTAATTTTTGGCCCATTTGCAATTGTCAGGGCATGAAGTGCCAAAAAGGTACACAGACTTGTTCCCTATCAAGTAATTTGCTATCAGTGAGGTAAAGAAAAGTTTCCTAACTGATGATGCTCAGCTGAATAGCATGACTTGGGGGTATGGTATTTCCTGCTGCTGAGCTGCCTAAGGATCAGTGTGTCCTAAGGAGGTGATTAAGGATCACCATGGTTGAACCCAATGCACTTCAAGATTAAGCCAGGGATCCCACTAATGCTTCCAAAGCTGCTGAAAGTTGAAGAATCATACTTACTCATCTAGCTCTTCCTCTTCAGCTTTAGAGGTATCTGCATAGAGGTATTTGCTCATATCCACTGGTCGGACGTTTTTCCTTTTTGCAGGTTGTGGGGGAGAATCTCTTACGGTTACAAACGTTTCAGGCTCAGGATCTGGCTCATCAAATGGGTTCAAGTACTCTGGGGCATCTTCATCCTTGAAAGGATTGTAATTGTCAGCATAGAAACTTTCTTCTGGCTTTGAAGACGAAGCTGTTTCAGTGTCCGGTTCTACCAAATAAAAAATAAATCATTACACAGATTTAACATACAAAAATTCTGAAAACATTTTATCAGATCTTTATACTTCGAAGACTTATGAAAAGTTCTACTTCTTAACTTTCAATAGCCTCGGATGAATTTCACGCTTTATTTATTTACAGAGTAACCTTGTTGATTCAAAACCAGGTCTTTCAAAAGGTCATTTCATCTAGAGTATATTGAATAGGTTTCATTTTCTCACTTACTAAAGCTCTTTTAACCTAATCGGTTATTAGTTTTCTTATTTGTCATATAAATGGTATCACAACAGATTTTAAAACACTTTCCCGAGCTATCAGCCAATTTGTATCCTAACAAAACGTTCTTAATTATTTCTTTGAGCTTTTAAAAAGGAAAGATATCCCGTATTTTATAATAAAATTACTTCTACTGGATATTAAAACCGATGATAGTAAGTAGGTGGTCTTTTCATTTCTTAAAATGACTGAACTAAAAATCAGTTATTAGGTGTGACCATTAATTACATTCCAAAACACACATATTTTCACTGCTAACTGCTCCTGGTAACAATACATAGTCTCACAGCAAAAATGAATTTAAATTAACCCTAAAGAGACAGATAATCGAATTACTCATCTATTATTTGGGCTGTACAACAAAAAGTTATTAGCAACCTGGAGCTGCGTGCAGTTCTTTAGAGTAACAGACGCTACAGAAAGAACATTACACAGAAGTGAATGGCTGCTGGATATTGAATAATACAAATCCCCACACAACATTTCTTACAAAGACACTTAGTAATGTTAATCTTACTCTTCCCGCAGCATCAAATGATCAGAAGCTCAGTTCAATATTGGATTTGATGTACTTTCAAAATCTATGCAAAAAGGAACTTCAATGCAGTGTCACTAAAATCTAATTTTCAATAACCACGCCCATGTTATTCTTCACAAAAAGTGTTTCTTTTTCACATGTATGGTTAATAAATTGAACAAAGCATACCTTTTAGCTTTGAAAGAAAAACTCTAAAAGTTATTTGTAGCAAGGCTCTAAAACATAAAAAGATGGCACAAAGGGAAGGGGCAGCGAAAGAAACAGCAATGCCATTACTTTGTCTTGGATGCATGATGTACTAAAGTTGCTAATCCTGGTGAACTGCTAGAAAATGGAAGCGTTCTCTACTCTGCCCGTAAACTTCCAGTTCACTCTGTCTCCAGCCAAGGAGACAGAAAGCCCTTCCCCACATAGTGCGACTGACGATAACCTACAGTTTGAAGAAAAGCCACTCCTGGCTGAACAGGAATTCGGTTCCCAGATGCAGGTAGCAGCTTCACCTATCTAGGCATTACTAGTCACCAGACCAGGGCAAAGTCTTGGAGCAGGAAAGGCTTTAGTCCTTCTCAGAACAACTGAGACCTACCAGGGACTGGAAAGATTTAATTCAGGAAGAACCTCACATTTCTGCTGCTCCTCTTCTTCTTGGTTCTTCACATTTTAACTGCAAAGACTACGTCAGCATATCGTCTTCTATGCTATTTCTAAGGGTCTGTTTCTGAAGTGATGGCTCATTCCTCTATGATCAGAAAGTAGAAACCAAATGGGTTTGGCTAGAATAACAGCAAAAAAACCCCACCAAAATCTTACTTAAGCCCAATGTGAACCCTCAGGAGATAAATCACTCATCTGAGACCAAAGGTGAGCTCAGCCGAGTGAAACAAAATAAAATTGTACTTTGCCAGACGATACTGCAGGTTTTAACTGGTAGACGCACAGCTACAGGCTGAGAGAATTGGGGCTGTTCAGCCTGGAGAAGGGAAGGCTCCGGGGTGATCTTACTGCAGCCTTCCAGTACTTAAAGGGGGCCTACAGGAAAGCTGGAGAAGGACTTTTTACAAGGGCGTGTAGTGACAGGACAAGGAGCAATGGCTTTAAACTGAAGGAGGGGAGATTTAGATTAGATCTAAGGAAGAAATTTTTCACTCAGAGGGTGGCGAGGCACTGGAACAGATTGCCCAGAGAGGTTGTGGATGCCCCATCCCTGGAAGTGTTCAAGGCCAGGTTGGATGAGGCTTTGGGCAACCTGGTGTAGTGGAGGTTGTCCCTGCCCACGGCAGGGGGGTTGGAACTAGATGATCTTTGAGGTCCCTTCCAACCCAAACTATTCTATGATTCTAACTACGCATGCTGCTTGTGCCTGTGGGAGTTCCCTATCGTGATTATTCAGAAAATTACATTTAAAAATTCCTTTAATTCCAAGTAAGGTTTGCAGTTTCTTATTCCTTCAGCAACCTGGTCCGACTTAGCATTAAAGAAGTAACATATACCGTACACATCTATCTCTGGCGTATCTCATGAGTTCTTATATTTAATTTCAAATTCAGAATACAGCTATCGCTGTTTCAAGTCAAAAACTGGAGCCAAAAAGGAGATTGAGAAAAAGTGTAAATCAGACACTACACTGAAATGGGATGAGATGAAGGTAATGTGAGATCACAAGAAGTTACTGTTATGCTTAATGGCCAGTCTTCACACTATCAAAATGGTTTTAAAAAGAACTAATTAATCAAAATCCTTGTGACTAACAGTAAAAAAAACAAATAATCAGGGTTGCAATAACAGTCTCAGCTAAAGCTAAAAAAGAGGTTCTGTTACTGTTTAAACCGGTTAAGTCTCACCTGAACATCATAAAGCAACATTTCAGCTGTGTCTTAGGAGATGGGCATATAGACAAACTACTGCAGGATAAATCAGGGTGTGTATTTGCAGTATGTCAGCTGTAGTGTATGTGTTCGCTCCTACCCAGCGTAAATACAACATGCTTATCCCTTAATAAAAGGGAATAAACTGCTGGGCACTTATCCTGGGAGAAAGGGTAGTTACTGCACAGTAGGTGATGCGTGTTAAGCTCACGCCCTAGTTTATGTGTGGCCATTTGTTCACAAGCTCGCATCCTCACAAGAAAAATGTTTCAGAGAAAGCCACAATAAAATAACATCAAAGGTCTACAGTTTAACTGACAAGGGAAAAGAAATCATTCAAGGCAGAAATTCTTAAACACACAAATACGATCAAATCCAGCAAGAATCCTTTGACAGTATCATGGATGAAATACAGCAGAGCCTCACATTTGAAAAGTATTTTTTTCAGTTATTTTAAGCTAAAACTGGAAAAGAGCTTCTACATTAGCTTGTGTACTTCACTCTAGTATCCAGTGCAGGTGGTCATGGCAAGCAAAAGTTTCACCCTGCTTGGCCTGAGATGTCTTCAGTGTCGGTATCTGCAGCTAAGCTGGATCCCTTTACTGTCAAAGCTTACAGGTGTATGTTCAAACTGGTAATGTCTAAAATCAGGTGACCCAAATCCCACTCTTCCTGCATATGTATGCGTGACTGGAAGCTCACAGGAGCCAGGACACTACTCAAACGTTACCCACACACTTAGTGATTCGATGAACCAGGCCAAGCAGAAATGCTGTTGAGATCTGCCCTCAAAAGATAGTTTCATACAAAAAGCAGAAGTAACCTAATGAAATGCAGAAAAATGATCGATGTACCTATTGGTCAAATTCTGCAACTTACTGATGACGTTTTAACCAAAATTTTTGCTACTTTAAACTTTGCTTGAATCTTAAAATATTTTATTAAGAGAGTGCACAACTACAAATACCTGCTTCTGCAACTCCATATGATGGATCACTGCACCTGCACATGAATCTGTTGATAAATACAATTATCACATCTGACCAAAACTTACTGATAACTCTCAAGCAGTATTCAAACAAATATTACCAGGAAGAATGTCAGTAATATTTCCTGAAGCTGAAAACATTCAGGGAAACAATCTCTTAAAACTACACTACAAACATTTAGTTTTAATTTGCTTTTAAGTGTCTCCTTGAAACGACGAGTTAAATGCTTCTTTAAATCTGATAAATTTTAAGGGGCAATGCAAATGGTTTTTGCAATTCTATTTCAACATTATGGATCAACTGCTGTAACCCTAACTAGGCCAAAATTATTTCTCTTGTTCATTGGCTCAAGAGTAACTACAGCTTTGGCCTTACAGGCACAGCATTGCAGATCAGTGCTCGGAGACCTCTGCCTTATTATTAATTAAAAGATTTCACAAAATCCTACACATAGGCTAAAATTAAAAGAGCTTCTAAAAGTATCATTTTCAAGACATTTTTTTTAGGCAGAATTTTGTAGGGGCTCAACTAGAACCTACTTGGCTGCTTGTTTTCTCTCCTCCTGTCATCCCAGATACTATTTGTTTTTCCCCTCTGCTTCCTTCAGTATCTCCACAGGAGGGAGGCTCCCCACCTGAACCTGAACCTAACCAGGCTATCTCCCATGGGGTCTCTGAAACCCTTTAGAACCCTTTAGGACCCTTTAGGACTTTGGTGATCACTTCTCTGTGACAAACAAAATTGCTAGGACAGTGACTCAACAACAGTGCTTCTAAAGCTGCAGCCACTGTTACCTTCTCTGTTAACAAAGGCAAATTTTCTCAAGGACCTAATGATGTTGGGAAGTGCATTTTGGGGGGCTGAACATACAACAGCTTAAAAGGGGCTTATTTCCCACTTCAAGCTGATTTTACACTAAAGAATCAGCACAGATTCCCTGGCTTCCCCCTAATCATTAATCACAGCTGAAAACACAAGACTCCAGTCTCTACTTGAACTAATTTTTTTAATTGCAGTTCTCTACACTAATATATATTTAAAAAAAAATAAAAAAAAAATGTTTGTAGTTTGGCACTCCAAGGGTCAAACACACAGTAATTTTGCATGGTTAAGTAATAAAGCCACAGGGGTAGGAGTGACGAGAGGTAGAAGTATTACTACAGCAGAAGCACCAGCTGCTCTTGTGCCAGATTCTGGAAACATTACTTGCCCTAACTCCACTGAGAAAGACTACTCATGATAGTAATCACTCTGGCACTACCCATGTGCACAATCAGCCTTCTAGTTCCCAGAGGATCTCAAAAATCACCCTGCCCTTCAACCCACTTGCCTTCTGTAACACAAACATATTGTGACACATCCCTTAAAACCAAACAAAATCCCCACCAAAACATTACGCACACCACTTTCCCCTTGGCAAAGGATGAAAGAACAAGCCACATGTGAAAGACACTTAGTTATGCCATTTACTGTACTACTGGCAGGCACACAGTCATGCTGGTGATGTGAGCAGCGTAAGGAACAGCGCAGAAAAAAAATGTCACTTCCCAGTACTTCTAGAAAGCATAATGACTGGCATCCCTATAAACCAGTGATGATTTTTCTATTACTTTTATTAATACTCACACCAGCAATACATTACATTTCATTAAGAAATATAACGAGAAGGGACAGAGTAACCTTTTTCCTCTGTACTGATTCTTGTACTGCTCTCTTCAGGACTATCCAGAAAGATTCTGGGGTTTGGTACTGCACTGTAGCACTGTTTTTATTTGTCATGTAACACATGCTGCAGGGATCTCAGAAATCTACACACAAGGTGAAAAAAAAACATCGATGAATAAATGTTGTTTTAAATGGAAGGGGGAGGCAGTGCCAGCAAAGCTACTCTCACGTCTCAAGTGTGTTGCAGGAAATTTATACTGGTCACATGCAACTTGAAAATTTGTATTCCTCACCTAATTAAAAAAAATATCTGGAGCACTGAAAGTGTTTTGTAGTTTTATATTTGAATTTGTTGCATATGTTGACTTCCAGAAGTAAAATATTTTGCAAAAAATTAACTGATTTTATAGTTCCGTTGTTGACTACAAGGCAGTCCTCATAAGATCATCTACGTACTGTCCAATATAAAGCTGTAGAGATACAGTGTCTGAACAGATTATTTTTGATTTTCCAGATTCCTAATGTCTAGCTGACCTACCAGATAAAGAGAGAACAAACCCCAATTCAACGCATCAACCAAGAGACAGATAAAAAGGTTTCACTTCCACGGCTGAAGATTTTTCAAGGCAAGTAGTTTGCACGCACGTTCGCTCCACTGCGCATGTGAGATCGTTTACACTGAGGACTTTTTAAACCACAGCAGCATCCAGGGACAGCTTGCCGATGACCCTCTGCCATCCACCGCACCCACAGTGTGCACATGGATGCTGGGAGCAGTCACGCCTTTAGTTTCTCTCCACCCTGCATTCCCAGGGTTAGGCGTTTATGGGATTAGGAAGACAGAGGGGAAAGCAGCTGGTTTGTGAACAGGCACAAGAAATATCTGTCTAGGAAACAAGCATCTACTGGCAATTAATCCTGCTTTCTCTTTGAGTGACTGTCAATACACACATATTTGTGCCCTGGGTGACTAAGCACTCTTCCACTAAGCACACAGGTTGCAGGTTTGATAGGAATATCCCTGGAATATCTCTGCCAAATGGCACATCGTGACTCCTGGCATCTGACGGCAAAGTACTCAGGAAAGGAGGCTTCAGATGGCTGCTCCACACATTTGGGGGAAATTAAGTAACAAATTCTATGGAGAGACTCTGAACTTTCACAAAGTCTAAATTTAAGATTTTGCCTTGTCCAGATAAAAAGATAAAGCAGACTAACATGTAGTGAAGAGAAAAATACTTCATCCCTGCATGCATAAAAGGTTAATCTTTTGATTTAAGCAGATCATAAGACAAGTGAAACAGGTAATGTGACTCTCCAACCATGTAAGAGAAAGTCTCCCTTAAACTCCTGAACCTCTCAAGCTCCCAAGCTCCTGGGACGGCCACCAAAAAGGTCACAGCGACTTAGGATGCAAAAGCAACAAGCCAGCATAGTCTCAAAGAGCTTCCTGAAGAGATGGCAGCAATAAAAGTTCTATCGAGGTCTCAGAGTAGAAGAAATGTCCTAAACCATGAGGGAATATACCTGCGACCAAACGGGAAACAAACAGGGCAGCCTACTGTGGGAGAGCAGTAGCGTAAGAGGAGCCACAATATTGTGTAGCTCCAAAACATAGTCCGACCAAAAGGGTAATCTCGCAAAACTGGTAAGGTCTGGGTGCACCTCATGTAGAGATACTGACGCAATTAGTTACAGACATACATAGCAGATTCCTGCTGTTGCTGAAGACCAAAACTGTCTTAACTACTTTGTCTCAGCGCCCTTTTTTCCTCCTTAACTTTCTGTGAAGGAAGAGGACTGGAGGAAAGACACATGTCAAGAAGGCCAAGCAAGGGAAGACGAACACAACCAGCGCCCGTTATAGGGAAAAGACAACTCTGGAGTGGAAGAGCCAGCACTTCTCAGAGGTGTCTGAGGTGACTAGGAGAATCCCTGGGGAGCCACTGATCATAAAGTAAAAGCTTTAAAAATGCCACACCAGATATCTCTCTCTTTCTCTGACAGCTTGAAACACCTCAGATCTTCCACTTGGTTCAGCGCTCCAGGAAGACATACTCCTGTCACATGAACCTGACAGAAGCTCTATCCCTCCCAAATAAAAAACAACTTATGACACAGTAGGAAGAATCTAGTGACAACCTGTTTATCAAAATCACTGTCATGTTGTTGTACATTGACTGCTGCACGATGGCGACAATGTGTGGGAAGAATATTCAGTACACACACACCCAACAACTCAGCATTGCTGCCCACAGACATGTAGATGGGACTTCTTTGAGGACCCAACAGTCTGAGCCCTGAGACTGTCCAATTCCACAGAACAGACACAGAGGAATGGAGAAGTGTCCATGACTACGGGTGGAGATGGCAGTAAAGTCTAGATGCCACCAAAGGGAACAGAATCGACTGAAAAAACATGTCCCACATATATTTGGAGTCTTTTGGGAACATAAGCAGGTTAGAGTTTTGGATGCAGGCTGCTCAGAGGGAACTTGACATGAGGTGTCAAGCTACTCTCGCAGTAAAACACCACCAGTTTATCATTCTCTGTCCCTGAGATGAGAAGGAACAGGATCTTGGTTCCTATATTTTGTGGTCAGAAGACCTGCTGCTTTCTGCCAATGCAGCTCCTCTCTGGAAAGGAAAGAAAAGCTGGGTTTGGAACATGGCTGTTTACATAGGATGGGACTTGTACAGTTCTCTCCAGGGAGAAGGGAGCTCTCCTTTCTAGAGCAGAGAAGGAAGAAAGGAATATACACTGAGTCTCTTAGACCATGTTGTGTATAGACAACTAGATGGATGAGAACAGGTGTTTTATTTCCCTGGTTATTCTGGCTGCTCCCCTGTACCTAAAAGGGGGCTTACAAGAAAGCTGGAGAGGGACTTTTTGCAAGGGTATGTAGTAATAGGACAAGGGAAAATGGATTTAAGCTTAAATGGATTTAAACTTAAAATGGAAAGAGGGGAGATTTAGATCAGATATAAGGAAGAAATTCTTCACTATGAGAGTAGTAAAGCACTGGAACAGGCTGCCCAGAGAAGATGTAGATGCTCCATCCCCGGAAGTGTTTAAGGCCAGGCTGGATGAGGCTTGGACCAACCTGATCTAGGGGAAGGTGTCTCTGCCCATGGCAGAGGGGTTGGAACTAGATGATCTTTAAGGTCCCTTCCAACTCAAACCATTCTATGATTCTACGATCCTAAGGCAATTAATTCACAGTCAAGGAACAGACAGGAAATGAAGCCAAAGATCCAGACACCAGAACCTAATCCATATATATTGGCATCTACAAAGGTGAAGCAACTCACTGCTGCAGTTCTAGAAACACCTGACAACTCCACAGGGAGGAGAATGGGCCTGGGATAGTGGCCAAATACAGAAGACAGTGCAATGTCCCTGTTTGAGAAATACAAGCTGTGAGACTACACCACCCCCAAAGTATGACAGGACTTAGATCACCACCCACATTGGCCTCTGCGAACTCAGAAGGCAGAAAAGCTGCGCTGTGAGTAAACGCTCAGCTAGTCCAGAGAAAGAGAGTAACCACAGGTGGAAGCTGCAGCTCAAAAACGCATCCTCATTAGATCTGGCATTAGAAATCCCATGGCTGTATCCCAGCCTGCTCCTGCCTGGTGTGGTGGTTCTCTATTGCCATTACAGAGCGGCTCTTGGTGGCAAATGCTCCTTGGTATTTTCTATGGGAAGAAAAGTCTTGGAGCTTTGAACAGGAAAGGTTAAGTACAGCTTAAAACCCAGGAAGAATTAACTATGGACTGGCATTTCGAGCAGGTGCAAACTAAGAAAGTCATATCCCCTTCTGTTTTTTGATGGCGGCAGATGGAAGCCTGCATATCTGGACGTGGAGTTGAGGACAGCAGAGCATGCCTGTCCTAGTGCTCCTTTCTGGCCTTATGGCCAAAATCTTACCACATTAAAAACTTAGAGGAATAGTATTTCTCACCCAAGCAGAACAAGAATGGGCATGTTGGTTTGGAAAGGGGATTAACACCTACCATGTGGTGCAAGGCGCAATGCCAGAAGGCTTAACTGAGGAAGCCATAAAAGCAAAAAAAGAAGAACGAAAGAGATACAATTAAATTATAATAATGAAGATTAGTGCTAACCAAGAATAGCTGTGATGCAGTGAAGATTGCAGTGAAGGAAGTTCTGATACAAACCAGCGTCTGCATGGAACAGAGGTGCTTGACAGTATGTGTTCCTCATATATACCATGAGGTGAGTACTAGTAACACACCGGACAGGTCTAAAAGTCTCTGGTTCAACTCTTAGCTGGTAGTCCCCAGTGACAAATACACACAAGGATGTGACTCAAAGGATAAATCCATTTTCCAGCGGCAACCGGATAACTGCCACTGCTACCTCAGCACTGCATGCAGTAACTGTATTTAACCAAAATAACATTTTTCATTTGTAGTCCTACAAAAAAAATAAAATCATGTTTCATTAAGCATTTACAATTATTAATGAATTATGTAATACAAAGCTATTACCTTCTATATCGGGGTCTCCAAATGGATTTAATTCTGCTGTGTCAGGATCACCAAAAGGGTTCGTGCTAGAGTTGGCCAGGTCTTGCTCTTCTTCATCCAGAAAATTAAGCTTATTGATAAGCTCTAGAAACAAGATGGAATATTGATTTAATATAGATACAAACTGTTCACCTAACATATTTTAAGCTCAAAAAAACCCCGTATCAACAGTCTCTCAAAACACTGCACCAGGGTATGGAATGAACTGCACAGCTAAGCTAATGCACTTCAGTAGTACACCAACAAAGGAGAAAAAAAAGTGAAATGAATGAAACTTCGCTGATCAGAACGCTATGTAACAGAAATTACTACTAAGAAAGCTGTTATCTTCATTAAATAAATGTCGCAGAACATCTAACAAGCTAAATATGGCAATTTCTTTTTGGTTGTTCACATACATGTTTACTATCGGCAGGAAATTTTAAATTTTGGATGTAACATGGACGTAAAATCAGAGAGGGGACATTTTGTCAAGTTAGAGATGTCAAGTATTATTGACTGCACAACTAACGTTTTAGGCTTGGGGTTTGGGGTTTTTTTTGTGATTTTTTTCTTTTTTGTTCATTATCAGATGACAACGGAGCTGCAGAGGACATAGGCTCTTTCTCTATCATGTTGTTACCTGTTGGATGCACTACAAATTACTAAGAGTCATGCTGGGTGGAAGCACAGAGATAAAACTGACAGCTGAATACAAGCAGGAGTCAAAAGGTAACAGGTCACAGTAAATACAGACGATCAGAAACAGAAAGAAAGGAGGAAAGCTCATAGACCTTCAGAGGAACTGGCTGATTTAGCTGAAGGCATATTTGCTCGCTTTATGCAGGCATCTTGATCTTCATCTAAGCTGCTCAGAGCATTCAACTGGTTTACAATTTCTGTAAATAGAAGCCAGTCAAGACAAACATAAGGCAAGGGCATTTAATGAAACAGAAGTGGAACGAACACTGTTACTAGAAAGAGAGAGTGAGGGAGAGAGAGGGTAAAAGAGAAGACACTTAGAGTTAATTAAAAGCATACATTTCGAACGAGTCCTTACAATGATATACCTACAGCAAAGCACCTGTGTAGGTGCTTCGGTGATAACAAGAAGAAACCCAGTTAACAGACTTAAACAGACCTTGCTGGATTCCTGGTGTCAGCAACAGTAATTAGTTTGATGAGGACGAGTACGCACATCAGTTCAAAACTTAGAGGTACTGGGTTAAACTAAAAGACTTTTCCTGCTCATGAAGAAAACCTGAATTTTAAACCATTGTCAACCAACACAAAACGGCCTCAGAACAATTTACCTCGCCTCCCAAACCCTTAAGGCTATAGAAAACTAACACACACGCATTTTATATAGTTTATTTATTTACACACACACCTCCCTCCTCTGATTGTTTAACATTTACAATCAGTCACCATTAAATTCTGACCTAGGACAAGTTGAACTTACCTAGTAGTTCTAAAAGATATGACCAGTATTGTGGTATGAGAACGCATACCGAACGTATATATTGGTTGAATTCGCCACCGTAATGCTATGCAAGTAACACCTCACTGTTTGGTAAAATCCTATTTTTCCTTCTATCCATAGTGGAGAGCTCTGAATCGCCACGAACTAATAATTTAAATGGATGACGTCTTCTGGTGTCACCATAGAATCACAGAGTGGTTTGGGTTGGGAGGGACCTTAAAGATCGTCTAGTTCCAACCCCCCTGCCATGGACAGGGACACCTTCCCCTAGATCAGGCTGTTAACTTCACTAGTGAAGTTAAAGTTATGTAGATGCCTTTACTGCATGCTTCTCACACCAATCATTCTTGGATTTCCTTTAAACTTCAGCACTTTTAATTCGCTGCTGTTTTGAACTTGACTTTTTCTCATATGGCTTTTGTTTGGGAAGCAAATGTTTGTCCCTGACTCTCATACAGTAATCTTAGTTCCATGAACTAGTTACGAGGAGGCAAGATATTGGACTGAGGTGAAAATTGAGTAGTATTGTGGCTGTCCCAACTCATGCTGGTGCCCACAGCCACCCAGAACTTCCTAGCAGAGGAGACTCATGCTTTGTTTCACAGGGCAACTCCTTCTCTGACACAACTCTTATCTTCTTGCCTTCATAGACAGCATAAAGAACCTGAAGCCAAAAGCAGAGTCCAGAACCTGAAAATATTTCAGTCATACGGTTAAAAATTTCTTTTCCAAATTTAAACTGCTTTGTGAAGATATGCCAATCTGCAAATTACCAAGTGAAAGGATCTATTCTCCCAATATCTATTGAACAAAATCTATGCTGACAATGACGAAGCCAGAGCAGAATTCCTCTTAACTGCACCTCCTAACTGTTCTCGACCTTAAAAAGCAAAAATCCACTCAGATGGGATTACATTCATATCTATCTACAGAGTTAATTTCACCATCCTCACTTCCTTATTTTTAGCTCCAAGAAAAAAGACTATCGTCCTAAAAAATAACACCAAAACTGTCCCCAAACCCTTAACTTTCTGAGTATAAAATCATATATACACTTCAGAGAGCTGAACAATATAATACTATCTTCTGGGAATTTCTAAGACTCAAGATACACAATGGAAAATACCTTGCTGTAGTCAAATAAAACAGAGTTGACCTTATAAAGCATTAGTACAAACGAATTACTAGTTTAAAACAGGCTGAGATGCTGACATGATTTACAATTTATTATGCTAGTATGTGGAAAAAAAAAAACAACAAACAATTACAATTCACTTTTTATTGTCAGAAAATAACAAATTAAGTTTAGAGCTTTAAAAAGAGGGAATTCTTTGATGTGGTCTGAATCATCAGGTCCCATCTGCCAACCTAAACACCCGTATGCACTACAATGTTTCTCATTACAATATTAAATGGTTTATGTCATGTTTTGGAGTGTGGAAATGGTAGGTTGGAGATTTATGTCCTATATTATCTTTTATAAATCTCATTATCTACAAACGTATATTAGCTTGTTCAACAAGTATGTCACATAAATCACTGGGGGTTTTTTTCATTCTTCTCTCTTACTTTTTTTTTTTTTTAAGCAGCTTGGTGCTACTGACAAAGAAGATGAGAGGTATCATTAGTTTACACGGGAGGTATGGTTTTGCAAATGGCAAGAAAGAGTTACACATACTGCTCTCCAGAAGCCTGTTCTTGGAATATACTGGGATTCAGACACCTGCAATAGGTAGCACATGGGCACGTTGCTGAGTCCATGTGGCACCCCAGGACAGTCACCGTGCTCCTGTTCAGATGGAGCAGGAGGCAACTATCAACTTCAGCATTAGGCTCTAAGTATCAATTAAAACATTAAGAGATGCAATGTGTTTATTACTACCCTATGTTTGTGAGTTATGAGCCACGTTTCTTCAAGTACGCTGGGAGGCCTCGTTTTCAACTGAAGACCAAGGATGGGATAGTTCTCGGAGGTTTAAATTCATCTACATAATAGTGTACAAGCAAAATATTTGAAACATATTTCATGGCTACGAACATCTTTTTCGACTTCACACAAATAGAACAGTTAGGTGGAGATACAGCTTTTACACTAGAAGAATTTAAACAAGAAATATTGGGAAGGAAGGGGAAAAGTCTGAGACAGAGGGAGATTTTTTTTTTTAAAATGAAAGTAGTGCTTTGAATGGAAAAGATCTTTCAGACTGATCTTAAGGTCAGCTGTATGGCAACAGCTCACATGTTGACCACATCAAATTCCACAGTGCTTCTGAGATAGGTCAGTATTGCACCACTTATTTCATAGCTGAAGAAACAGGCACAGAGACTTACCCAAAGTTAGGCAACACATCAAGGAAGAGAAGCAGCATTACCTAACTCACCTGCACCATCTAGAGCCCCACTCAGCAGGTCTCCCTTGTTCTCCCAGCTGTGGATATGTTTTGTTTACAAAACTGTAACTTTGGGCCCAACAAAAAAAAATAGCTTTCGTACACTGCAAAAAGGAAAGGTGTCTGTGGTAAAGATTTGCAGCATCTCTTGTAGCTGTGGCTTGAGAATGACGTTTGAATCATCAAGCATCCAATGCTTCTGTGAGAAGACTTGAGTCAAAAGCAGGATAATAATCCCTCTGATTTACTGCCTGCACTTGGCTTTTTCAAAGCTCGCTTACAAACATTAGCCATGTAATACTCCCACCATTCCCATGAAGTAGTTATAGCCAGTATCCCCCTTTTATAGTTGGGAAAACAGGCGCACCGAGGCGAAGTGATTTGCCACAAAGGACTCTGACTCAGTGAAGGTATTCCAGCTCGCTCAGCTGTCAACACCCTAACATGGCAACAGATGAGAAAATATCGGGAGTAGCAAGCTTTCAAAAGGATTATGTAACTTCCTTAATTAACTTTATGGGATTTTGTGAACATAATTATTTTTGAAAGAAATTTTAGAAAGAGTACTTCATTACATCAGTTTTGTCCCATTTTCTTCTTTCTACATTTCTTCCTCTTTTTCTACAATGATTCCTACCTCTGTCTCCCTTGGTTCCTCTGCTCTTCTCCTTGTGTTTTATTAGTCTTTCCCATTCATTACAGGAGTCACTCCAACTGCCAATGAAATGAGTCTTGAACACATGTTGAAATAGACACTTTACATTTTATTTAATAATGTTTACTTACTGCCCTATGTTTTATGATCTCCCATTAACTTGGAAAATTAGGTGCACTTGTTCTCCTTCAACAAACATCTCATCCCTCTCCTTTCCTAACGTGGGAAAAGTTGGCCAGGCTAACCAAGCATCTCAACTGTTGTAGCCAACACAAGAATAAAAAGTCTGAGGCTGACCCTTTCCCTTTCGGGTTTCCTTAATGATGCATCTACAAAAAGCCCAACCAAACCCTTCCATCTTGTATCATTAGAAAATAGGATCAGAACAGGCTAAACAACAAGCAGATGAGTGTAGCTGAGAAGTATTTATTGCTTCTGCCTTTCAGGTATGTACACTACATAGCCAAAGCATAGTGGACAGACTAGACTACATCAGCTTTTTGCTCGTTCAGGGATCCTTTGTTGGCTTGTTCAGATGCTGAACGCAGCAAAATCAATAAAGTTGAGGAGCAAGATCTGCTACTTTTCAACTACTGTCCTCTGTGCATGGGTTTTCCGTAGCCATTCTCAGTGCAGTATCTAGGCATATCTTAATAAAACTCTTCTGCACAATAGTTTATATGGACTTTATGTAGCCTCCCCTTCTCTTCTCTGTGATTATCAGAGGGTCTGGTGAACATGTCAGGTTTTGTTTGGTGTTCTGACATGCACCTGAATTATTCTGGTTATGCTGGGAAAAGAGAGGAAGACCTTGTAGAATGATTTCAGTGTGACCAGACTGGTATTTCTCCACTCCTCAACTGAAAATACGTTATGTCTGTCTCTCAAATATTTCATTCTGGACTTTTCCAATATGCTCTGTGCCTGACACATACAGCCTAAGTACAGATTTGGTCAGGGTACGAAACATTTAATTGAATATTTAAAGCATGGAGAAAACATATTTGCATCCTTTCACAACACTAAATGTAACTACGTAATAACTGCTTCAGGCTGAACCTTTCGATTGCAACAAAAGCTCAAAAAGAAGCGATGTAAGTAACGTTTCACAACACCAAACCTATGTTCCTCAGGATATTCAAGAATAGATTTGACAATTCACTTCTCTGCTTAGGATGTTCTCCCCCACCATAGAGAAGGATCCCTTTATTTCAACAGACATTTTTAAAGAGAATTGGCAGGCATCATGGTAGCACCAGAAGTTCATTTGTCTTTTCCTGATTCTTTTACACTAAGAGTTCCTACAGAACTCATCTGGAGCAGTACTACATAATGATCTCTACCAATAATCTAACATCATCACACCCTGATCTGACTTACATTGATTAGTTCAGCTATCCTGCATGCAGCAAGTGTTTTCATCAGCAAGCAATTTAAATGTGGTTATACTATCTCACTTCAAACAAGCTTTCTATCAAATTCTGTTAAAATCCTTTAACAGTCTCCTGATTTCATTTCCACGAGACACCCCCAACCAAAAGGCAGAAGTACGCTGCCTGGAATTACCATGTTATTGAGCAGAACCTCAGCACCTACCCATGGCACAACTCATTTCGCAGTTATTCTCACAAACTGTCTTCATTATTTCACTTCAGCTCATCCTCTTGCCTTCTCGCTCACTCACCTTTTCTCTCCGTCTTTTTCTCTTCTGTTCACATTGGTTCATTGCTTCCCTAAAACGCTACCTACTTAGTGTATTCTCTCCTAAAAACAGGAAACACACACACACACAAATCAATGCTCTCAAATTCACAAACATTAAACTTTGTTGAGTTATGGATGGGTCTCTCTTCAATCAAACGATCCTGAATTTTGTTTCGGTTTGGATTTTAAAAAACTGAATACAAATATAGCATAAGGATAAAATCCATGAAACACAGCTGGCAATTAGCAAAGGGAACTATATTTTACCATCCCTGTGGCAAAACCAACCTGTTATTTTTGCAGCCTTTTCCTCTTGATTCACTCTGTTTTCTTCATCATCTTCATTATCTTCCTCAAAATCATCTAGATTTCCAATATCAGCTTGTTTCATGCTCATCAAACTAGCCAGGCTTTGCATGTCTTCATCCCTAAATAGCAAATTTCAAACCAGGCATTAAAACGCAGTCTACTAATACCATTTCTGACACTAGTGCATTATTAAAAATCTTTCAAATATTTTTATGCTTTCTTTTCTTCAGGGACGTCTCTGATCTCAGATCTGATCTTGAATACAGTGAAAGAACAAAATGAATATACTCATGTATATTAATTTCTGAAGGGAAAGTTTTCTATTAACAAGATTCTGAAGGGTAAAAACAGTCCTGCCATGCATTAAGAGTCAATTTAACAACTGCTTATCAAAATTTTAAACCAGTTCAGAAATGCTAGTAAACAACTTACCTGGTCTCCTTTGGTTGAAGTGGAAATGCTTGGTCAGACCTATTGTCCATATGCTGTATGTGACACCTATCACTACATTAATTCAGGATTCCTGACACTGTTACAGAAATTAAAATCCTTTTTCTAAATATCTGAATTAATTAGAAAGATAAAAACCCATTATGTATCAGTGGTCAACTTCAATTCTTATTTGACTGTATCTCATCTCTCTCTCTCTCTTTCACAAAACTGTACCTTTCATATCAAATACATGTTTGAAAAGATGACAGCAAGTAAAGATTCAGAGAAACAGATGCTCTACATTTGTTTCATAAAAACCCAAAGATTTTTGAAGTACATGATGTCATTCTTGAAGCAACAGCAGTCTTACCTCTTATTTTTTAAAACCATTTCAACGGGTTTATTGAGATCAATCAATTTTTTTTTAAGCTCCTTACAATAAGACAGACTGGGGATTGCCTGGCTAGGGAGCAGCTCTGCTGAAAATGGTCTGGAGATCTTGGCGGAGAGCAAGTTCAAGGAGAGTCAGTACCATGCCCTGGCAGCCAAAGGAGTCAAACAGCATCCTGAGATGCACTGAAACAGGACAAGCAGTAGACTGAGGGAAGTCCATCACCCCCATTTACTTGGAGTTCGTTGGACTGCATCTAGGGTACTTTGTCCAGTGTTGGGTCCTACAGTACAGGAAAAGGTGTTGATAAACTGAAGTAAGGTCAGCAGAGGGCCACTGAGATGAGGGGGGCTGGAGCACTCGCCCTATGAAGAGAGGCTGAGGGAAATGGGCTTGTTGAGCCTGGGGAAGAGACGGCTTCGGAAGGACCTGTCAGCACATATGAGGACATTGCTGAGAAGATGGTGGTGCAAGGCAGGAGGATGACAGACAATCAACACAAATTGAAACCAGAGAGGTTCTGATCTGATGTGAGAAAAGAGTTGGAAGAGTCATCAACAAGTGGTGGGATGGGCTGCCCAGAGATGTTGCGCACCCTCCATTCTTGGCAGTTTCCAAGCCCCAGTGGGATAAAGCCCAGAGCAAACTGGTCTGATGACATTGCTGTCTGCTTTAGGCAGGAGGCTGGACTAGCTACCTCTACAGGTCCTTTCCAACCCAAATTATTCTATCTCCTTTGAAGCTGATAATGACAAAACCGGATGCACAGATTTTGTGCTTAACAATGCCAAGAAAGCTATACAAATTATTTTGAAGGTACCACTTATAGGAATAAAAACGACATACTAATCATGCCTCAAATCTGCACAGAAATACAGAGGCACTTAAAACATAGTATTAAACTCAGTGATTTAACACGCTGTTAAAATCAGAAGCTCTTTGGGACAACCATTTCCTACTGTGTGAGTTCAATGTAATCACCACTACAGAACCCGTGGCTACATAGGACAACTAAGTACTCCTATAAAAAGTCCCACTAATAATAAATATAAAATAAGTTACTATCAGGAAGTCAAAGACCTTTCCATTTACGTAGCATCTTCGAGGTTTCATCTTCCTGTTTTGATAACCAATAGGTTAAATCAAATCTTTAAGCACAGGGGAAAAAATGTAGCATCCTATAACCGCATTGATGGGCAGGCTCTTTTATGGACTAAAGACAAAAAGCTGGAAGCAGTCAGTGCACAAATCTTGTGTATCACATGTTCACATAAAGTTTAGAAATCAAAAGGTCTCCAAAGTACTCTTTCTTTTTACTGTCTTTCCTGTATTCATACTTTGTAATATTTTTTTTCTGTGATTTAGAAATAAGATGATTTTTAGTACTGCACAGCAACAGATTGCAGTATTTTATTTATAAAATGCATAAAATAAAATTAAAGATCAATCTCACTTTATGGAACTACAACAGTTTGTGAGAGACGTAAGCAAGCCTTAATCGGGCTACCTTTTCTTCCCTGTTCACATATCTGACAACTGAATTCTCTCTTTTATTTTGACTAGTAAGACAGTCTCTATTTACACATGCTGGAAAACAATGCTTTCACAAACAAGAGCTTTTATTGTTTTTCCGGTCCTGATTCAGGGCAATATTAAAGCCCTGTTGCTAACTTACAGTCTACCTGACTTACAGTCTTCAGTCTGAAACCTATTGATTTCAACAGGAAGAAGGTATATGTGATACTAAATGCATCAGTTTTTACAAATTATGGCCTCAAAACCCACTAAGAATCTAGTACAGCCATTTACTGTAGAGTTTATGGATGCTGGTTGTTCCAAAGTCAAGAAGTTATCAGATATTGATTTTTTCATTCCCATTTTCAGCTGCAACATCATGTTAAAACACAGCTAGATACTTCAAAATATCATGGTAGGTCAAAATGTGCTTCACAACAGGTTAATCAGAGAAGGGAAACAGTAACAGTAATTAATGCATCTGTGGTTTTCTAAGCCTGCAGACACAAAGGCTTTTTTGTCAAAATGTTTGCCTTAACATGGCAGTCTGGAAAGCTGTTCATGCAACAGTTTTGGGGCACTTGTATTGCAGTGGGCAATGTCTACAAGTGCATTCAGAATACTGAAAGCTAGAACTGTTAGCCTTTTGGAGGAAAAAAGAAATTTAAAAGAGATAAAAGAACCACTAGAGCAGTAGTTTCCTCATCTATCCCTTCTTGTTTGGCCATTTGTATCAGAAAGAAGTGTGGCCAGCAGGATTAGGGAAGTGTTTGTCTCCCTGTTCTTGGCACTGGTGAGGCTGCACTTTGAATACTATGCTCAGTTTTGGGGCACCCAGTACAAGAAAGACATTGAGGTGCTGGAGTGTGTCCAGAGAAGGGCAACAAAGCTGGTGAAGGGTCGAGAGCAGAAGTCCTATGAGGAGTGGCTGAGGGAACTGACATTGTTTAGCCTTGAGAAAAGGAGGCTCAGGGGAAGACCTTATCGCTCTCTACAACTACCTGAAAGGAGGTTGTAGCGAGGTGGGGGTCAGTGTCTTCTCCCAAGTAACAAGTGATAGGATGAGAAGAAACGGCCTCAAGTTGTGCCAGACACGTTTAGATTGGATATGAGGAAAAATTTCTTCACTGAAAGAGTGGTCAAGCATTGGAACAGGCTGCCCAGGGAAGTGACTGAGTCACCATCCCTGGAAGTATTGAAAAGACGTGTAGACATGGCATTTAGGGACATGGTTTAGTGGTGGACTTGGCAGTGTGAGGTTAACGGTTGGACTCAATGGTCTTAAATGATCCTATGATTCTCAGATGCCCATATTCTAGAGACAGAAAGGAAAAGCAAAACAGGATGGGTGACAAACAATCCATCCTCCAGCGACATGAAGTTGTCAACATCTGACATCTCAAATCTGACAGAAATTGCAAGAGAGATTATAGGTTCTGCAAAAATTATCTGTATTCTCCGCCCTCCAAAGGCTGTTGAAATAAGAGACAGAACCAGGTCAGTGAATAGGGGGAGTGTTAATCAGTGCCCAAGCAAATTCTTTTCACAGGATGTTCTTGTGTTCAACCAAAAAACCTTAGACTTCTGACTCCACCCTCTCTTACCTTGCAACTGGCTTTGTCTTTCATTCTTTGTGAAATAGAAACAGGTGAAATAAAAACAGGTTCTCCTTTCCACATTTCCCTTGCAGTTTGCTAAGGGTATTGTTGGATGAACACATGCATGCACACAAACATATGTTCCTGCTGATTTCAAACCTGTAGATAAGCTGCTGTTATTTAAAACGCCTGTAACGGTAGAGTTGTTTGTCTCTGAAGAACACAAGACTAAAATCAGAGCAAGAAACGACTTTTACTCAGCTAAGAAACTAAGTATGGCAGGAATGATAGGTATGCTGAAGGACACTCTCAAATTCTGCCGTTCTATACAGAAAGAGCTCTTTATCCAAAGACTTCTTTGAAAAGCAACACAAAGCAGGCTATCTGGTTAAAAAAAAAACAACTACTTACGTGGCTTTTCCTTCCCTTAGGAAAATACAAGATAAAGAGAACTGTAGTGTGGCAGATACCACTTTCTTGGACAACGGCTTGAATTTTAGCTTGACATCTGTCTGTGTAGGCATGGGGCTTGCATACTGCTTCATGTTGATGCTGCTCGTGGCAAGCGCTTTTCTGCGTCCAGAAGGAGATTCCTGAAAGCAAAGAAAAACCAAAACTAACATAAAAGCTGCTGTTACACTGAAACCTGCATGTGCATAAACCAAAAAATACACTTATTAAATCTGCATCATTCTTTTTTCAAGCACACGGGCAGCAGGCATTATTGCAGAAACACATTTCTTAAGCACGGTCAGTCACTAATGGTGGCTTTTTGAACAATGGGAAAAAAAAGAAAGTTATTCATTGTGATTAGTGGTCTTCCATATGAAAACCTAGGTCTTTAAGAGTTTAAGTTTGTAGCATCCACAGCCAACATCCATTTAAGCAAGGAGGAATATATCTCCATTCCTTCTGATAGCAAACTGGACTAGTTTTGTCCAAACTTGGATAGTCCTGGAGTAGGACTTTCAATGTATGGAAGACACAGGTTTCAGTTACGCATATATTTCTCTACATAATGGTATGAGGCCACCAACTTAATATTTTTAACTGCTTTCTGTGTTCAATGCTTAACTATAATGCCTGAATATTTTTCAAAGCAATGGTATCTCTCACTAGTGTGGTACATGTACTATTAAGAGTGACAGGTTTCTGAAATTAAGGTTGACTTCCTTATTTCTTCCAAATAAAGGAAGTCCTATAAATCTTCCAAAAATATTGATAAAATTTTGAAAGAAAAAAAAAGGCAAGATAAAGAGGGAGATAAAAGTCTACATTGTATTTCAAAAGCCTAAGTTGCATTTCAAGATAAAGATGTTGCTCACAGTTTAACAATTCAAATTAATCTAAAATGCATCTAAGAATCTACTCTCTCGTTCCATCTAATATCAGCATCAGCAGCAAAGAAATGATTATATGTAGTAAAGCTCGAGTAACAAAAATAAAACAAAAAGCCCTGCTGTTAACTCTTTTGAAAAATGTCCTCACAATAAGACTACATTTTACTGCAGTTGACAATTTGTGTTGAATAAAGAATACTAATTCAATCGAAACATTCAAGCATCCTTTTTCAAAGTACTTGACATTTCTGCCCAGTAGAATAAGTCGGAATGTAATATGTCATCCCCAAAGAATACCTTGTTTAAAAAACTAGCCTTATCTGTCAGATTATGCACAGCAATATTATACAGAACTATTAGTGCATGTAGATACCTTATGAATGAATTTCAAAAATGCATCAAACACTTGAGAAGGATTTAGGCCCTCTCAGAAGAAATACTTAAGAATATGCAAATACTCTCAACTGAATCAAGGCGAACAGATGCGACTACCACAAACAATACGAGTGCTCTTTCCCCGGCCGCGACTGTCAATCAAAGAGCAAGATTAAGGCCCAAGGTTCTGACAATGTGTAAAATGGAAAGTATGATCAGGGAGTTTCAATTATTACACAGATACGAACAACAATAATCTGTTATTGTAGCACACCTTTAGAATAACTAAACATTACAACTCATTATTCTGAATGCGAGATTTACCACGGCACCTGTTCAGAAAGCAACACAAGAGACATAGCACTTCTGGTTTGTGTGTTCTCCAGGTAAACGTAGGGAAGCAGTTTGCATCTTAACGGTAACTTGTTTCATAAAGCTAAACTTTCAATATTGATATGCTGGTGGGAAAAAGATGGTCAAGGTGAACAGAAAGGAAGTTTGCTTAAACCTCTTCTAGTTACTTTTTTAAAGTATCTTTAGAGAAAACTGGCACATAACTGGCACATAATGTGGTGTGCAAATATTTATGCGATTGGCGTGGTAAAAACAAATTGTCAATTCTGGTGCATGTGCTTTTCGGCCAAACAGAAAAGGAGAAACCAGAAACTAAAAAGTAACTTGGAGTCACATGAAGAAGACAAGGGACAACGGGTAAAAGTTGCACCGGGAGAGGTTTCATGTCAATATAAGAAAGAAATAGTTTACAGCGAGAACAATCAATCACTGGAATAACCTCCCCAGGGACGTGGTAGAGTCCCCGTCGCAGGTCCTCATCACGTGGTAAGAGTTCCCATCGCATCAAGATGCAACTGGACAGGGTGCTAGCTAATCTCGCCTAGGCTTCCTTTCCCACAAAAGGTTGGGCCAGATGATCTTTCCAGGTCTCTTCCAGCCTGGGCTGTTCAATGGTTCTACGATTCTAACTTGAAGGCTCTCATCTTCAGTCAGGCCAAAGGAAAACATTCTACCCATGGGCTATAGTGACTAGGAAACATTTGTCACACTTTGGACTTGACCCTTCTTTGCATCAGTGGGGAAGAGCTTATGTTTGCAGACAAAACCCAATTATATCTTAGCTTGCTTTAAAATCTGTATTACGGTGTCAGTGTTATCCTTACTGAAATGATAGTTAGGAACAGAACTTGAATATGTGGAAAGACTCTTTATTTGTTCACTATTCCTAAATTATGCTATTAGGCTTTCCTTTAAAACAAAAAGGTTTTTTTTTATATTTTTAAAGAAGATGCACAGCTGTTGTCACGTCCTCATGCCCCTTCATCAACGAAAACACCCCAAAAAAGATCAGGTGTATCTACACCAAGTGAGAAACAGGTGTAGGGAACATGAACATGGGTTGCAGCCTTCCAGATGAACCACTGATCAGCCATACTGTGCCTATATTCTGACATACTCTTCTCAGTTTGACTATGGGAATCACCTCCTAGCAGCTGTAAACATCCTCAATGTAACAAAGACCTAGATTATTTCCCTGTGTAGCTTCTCAGTGCGGTCTCACCTGTTACACCTTATGCTACGAAAGCAACACACTGGCCTCCCACGAGGTCCCTGCGAGGTATCACAGGGAACACAAATACGCTTCAGTGACTCCGAGAAACAAAAGGTACATTTGAGGGCAGAGCTACTTTCTCTTGTTACAAACACACCATCTCACTGATAACACAACTGAGATGCAGGCTGTGTTTATCAAGGTGATTTTACTAAAAAAGTCAAAGCAAACAAGCTAAGCCAACCCAAAGACCAGTTCAATGATGAATCTGAAGTGAAGAGAAAGGACAGAGCATTAAACTTGCAAGCATCCAAAAGCTGGACATGGACTTCAAGGCAGGAGAATTTTGGAATTATGTGGAATTACGTTTTCACTTAGTATCTATTTATTGAATAAATGATCATCTTGCCATTTGCAGCTTCAGATTATCTGGATCAGAGAGTGAATAAGAGACCTGAATCAGGAAGAGGTGAAGTTCTCCCAGTGAAGATCATCATCATCAGTTCCTTGTGAAATCTGCTGGGGTTAGCTGTTGTAGAGGAGGTGGCAGACAAGAGTGCAGGCAGCTGTGTGCCAGTACAAAGGGGAGAAATCAGCCATGTGCAAGAAGATTCTCTTAGCACTAAATATCCTGAGGTGCTGTGAAGAATAAGACATACTTGGCAATCAAGTTCAGTCCTCCTGAGAAAGGAATTCATTTCATAATCTTTCTGCGGGCCAAAGACAGAAGTTGACTTTTCAGGTTCCAATTGCCTATATAAAATCCAAATCTGTAAACTTATCACATTAAAAAAAAAACCCAAAAAAACAAAAAAAACCCAAAGGAAAATAGACAGTCCCTGATCTTTCAAGTTTTGTTTTCCTTAACATGCGAGTTTAAGTATATCCTTATACTCTCCCAGAAAATTAAGCATGTTAGAAGCTTTGCAATGTTTTCCCCTTTTAAGCTTTATAGGCTTGGCCTTATGTGGTGTTAGCTATGTAAGTAAAGGGGGGAAGCTGCTTTTTTGCCCATGAAAAGCACGATCTCAAAGTGCTCAGGTCCATGACTGATTTCACAAAGGATTATGTTTTCTACTCTGACACAAGCAACTTTTAAAAAATTGTCTTTAAACATCAGAACATGCTAATAACCACTTCTTACAAAGATTGTAACATCCTCTTCAAAAAAAGCGTACATGCTTCATATAATACAACCTGAGCTACCTCAGAACCACACAGAAATTTCTTGCAGGAGAATAAATAATTCTTAAATTAATAGAGACAAAATAATCCAAGAGAAATACCTGAGTGGGGTATACGGGAACAGCTCAGCAGCAGGCTGGAATGAGTTATTTCAAACAGAAGCACACTTTGGCAAGATACTAAAAATATAACATCCATTTAATAGTAAAAGTCTGACCTGGTGTTACTTGTGTCTCACATGAGCACATGGAGTTTTGTGGAAGGTAAGCAGGGACCTCAATGCAAACATGTTAATTGCTCAACTTTTCTGATTTTAACTATATAATCGAAGTTTAAAACGCGTAAGGCTCAATTATCCCTCCTGGTATTTTACATACATGTGACTTGCCAGAGTTGCCACATCCTGTTTTGTGAAAGAGTGCATGGAAAAGCCAATTTTGAAATCACAAGAGGGAAATGATCCATACGATAATAAAGACAGGTGACAAAATAATCTACAACATTTGACTATGAAGATGGACTTCATTCTGTAAAAAAACAGTGATTTGGAAGCTCTTCACTTTTTAAGAAAGGCAATGCATTACACAAATAAAATCAACTACGATATTCTGAATACCACAGAAAGATAGAAGATAACCCACAATACTGGTAAAATACACATATCTCCAGGTTATCTTCCAGCTCAAACATACTATCGTGTTTGACAATAAGCACTGTTTGGTTCATAAGATAATGCGTGGAATATTGGTTCACAATCTTTTTTTGTTGTTTCATGTTTGCTACTGTATCATTCTAGCAAGGGAAGCAACACACCAGAAAAAATTCTTTTAGAAATCGCCAATAAATTATTAAAAAAAGAACTAGTTGGTATGTTAGCAGCAACAACTGAAGCCTATCTTCTTGCACAACAGAATAGTGGCTGTGCTGGGTCGACCAAAGGGTCTGAGAAGCCTGTATATTATTTACAAAGTATATTGTTTAAAAAATGATCATTATAATTTACTTAAAGCAGAGTAAAAAACACACGTAAACATGTAGAAATACCTCTTCGGAATACTCTCTTGTGCTGGTGAATTTCTGCTTTTGTATTCCACGCTTTTATGCCCTTCTCTCGCAAGCAGCTCCA